CCCCCCCCTGCTGGGAATGGTATCTGCAGTATAAGTCCATTCAGAATCTCGCTCATATCGCGTAGGATTCGTCTCTTATCTCATTAGGACATAGATTTCACTCTAAATCAAGCCTTTGATGACACGTATACTTCCGCCTCATTGAGCAGACCCTTAGAGCATGGATTCTCAAGCCTGATGGGAAACTAACATGACGCCTTTTCTCAATTTGATATGTTTACCGGCTAAGTATCATGGTAAAGCCTTTATTACATGAACCACCAATATGATTAATCACGTCTACAGCTGACCAGCCATCACTGGTCTCCGCTGCATAAATCTAGGTCGTCCTAACACCAGGACCAAGTATAAAAGTGACTGGCAGTCTCTAAAATCTACAAAAATAAAAGTAATAAAGATAAGGAAATTCATAGAAGCCAAATTAAATTTGCTCTTTTGGTGGGAGCAGAATGCATATAAAGAAAGGTTAGAAAAAGAAACTTTGTACCTCAGTAGGTAGGAGCGGGACCAAGTCTTCCGCCTCATTTAAATTAACTGTCCATGAAAGGCCAAACAGGGATGCATGCGGAGCTGACATATACGGAACAACTAAAATATCAAAGAATATAAATTGCAAGTCAAAGTAAAACGAAAATAATTAATCAAAAATATAAGGTTAATAGGATAAACACATGCAGAGAATGTAAACGGAAAGCAGTGATTAATATTTTCTACTAAATAAATTATTTTCATTTTAAAAAATTGATTTACTAAGGCCTACTGTAGTTTTCAAGAAATTAGTTGTATAAAACGAATTATGCTTCCTGAAGTTATACCAGGAAAAAGTAAACTTACATGTAAAAAGTAATATTTATCAAAAATGGAGCATAGATAGGATATAGTATAGATATCAAAGATACCCACTTAAACTTCGGAATTAAGGCACCAAGTAATGGCTTTTTAAGACGAGAAAGACCAATGACAATTCGAATTCGCCATTAGGTTGTATGCTTTATTTGATTTAGAAGCAAAATAGAGTATCCTAAACAGGGCTTAATAAAATTGAGTAATATTAAACTGAATTGCTCTACAGTTGTCGTTAGTTCTACCTAAGGTCAGTAAGTTGAAACAATCATGTCATCTTCATTGATCTTAAGGAAGAATTACAAACTCTAGGTAGGATCACATCTTCTAGCTTGTTCTGTGCAAACCTAAGATGAGAGTTTAAAGTATCTTCTAACGAACTTATATCATAGTTCTTGTGCATTAGTCCTCATTTAAGTCGGCAAATGCCTAGATAAAGCAATGGTTAGATTAACCTCAAATATAAACTTGAACTTCTGGGCCAATTTAATGATAAAATCTGGAATTTTATGCAGAAATTAGACTTAAACTGCGTCGTAATTTAATATAATAGGCCCCATTTTAAAAAAAAACAAGGCAAATTCGCCCTAAAACTGTTAATATTCATTATTTTTGAAAGCCTAATCACCTAGAAAAGAATTGTTATAAAGGCATAGAAAGCTCTAAACAGCTTTCTTTGGGTATGAAGAACCAAAATAAGCGAATCCGATTCGTCAAATTAAGGACTGGAACATGAAGACAAGAAGCTAGGAACTAGAACAGTGGGAGAAGAAAAGTTATCATCGATGTATAGATAATTAGTCAAAGGGATTGCTTATAGTAATCATTTTGACTGGCTGTAGCTTGGTGATGAAGATGGCGCTTTACAATGATGATGCCGATCAAGATGCCAAGGAAGGTCTGGAAGCGTACCCACCCAATAGAAATGCAAGAATAAGTTAGAAAAACAAAGGCAATCGATGTGGGATATATTCTTCTAAATCTCCCTGTAAACACGAGTAAGTTGGGAAAATATTTTCAAAAAGAGTATATACTACGACTAAAATTAAGGTAAAACCATCCTGTCCTTCACATTTACTTCTAATTAGGACTATCGAAGTATAAAATAAGTTCTCATCACGCAATTTGTGAACTCCACAATATAGAAGAAAAAGTGTAAAATAATCCAAGAACAAATGAAATAAAATGGCTTAACATAGTCCCGATTTTAAAACAAAGCCATTGGCTTGAATATTATTGGATTAAAACCCAGCTAACCTGTTTCCGATGAGAGACCAACAGCACCCGCCAAGTATGTGACGAGTAGACGGTTGCGACCGTGGGCATCGTTCCAATCAGGTAGACCTACAGTAACTCGGGCTATTAATTTGGTGATTAACAACACTAGATTGCAAGCAGCGGTGGCGCCGCGGATCTGCTCCGAGCTAGAAGCTCCAGTAGCAATATAGTCGTTAAACAAAGATTCATTTGTGCCAATTCCTACAACTCCAGAGACTGTGGATACAGTATTCCCATTGAGTAATTTACTCGTTGGTAGGCCAGTCACACAAGATGAGGAAGGTAGTATAGAAATAAGATCATTATTCACGGACGAGGATGATGAAGAAGAAGAGACTGACACACGGGAAGAGGCAGAGCTTGAGCTGGAACAAGAAGTTCGGCTGTGATCATGGCGTTCTGGAGAGCACCAAAGTAAGGCAACTGCGAGTAGACGGAGAAGGCTATCAAGCACAGGACAAATAAAGGCAACCAGTTGATCAAGCTGTGCTTGCTGAGAGATGAGGAGAGATAAGCTGATCGTAAGTGAATTAAACTCGGATCTGAAACGGATAAAGAGGAGTTAAAAAGGAATATATATAAACGTACGAAGCACGATAATAATGGAGCATCATACCGTCTAGGAAGCAGGTATATAATCGGATTAGGAAAGAGATACGAATCCTAAGTGATATTTTCCCTACGCAAATGAAAATCCGTACGAATAAGGTAAGAGGATTTAGAATCATATATACAAGAATGATTTCTAAAATTAAAAGACAACCACTCAAAAGTAAGAAATTTCGGGTTTTTTCAAGTATTTTCATAAAATTTTGTAGACGTTTTTAAATGCCTATTTGCTCAATTTTCAACAAACTAGTAAATTATGCTTTTAAGAATATGAAATAGAGAATTCTTTCTGGCAGGATTAGATAATACCTCCTTAATAAATAAAGATTTCCGAAAATATAGTTAGGAAAGTATTGTGTGAATCAATTTTATTCATATAGGTAAGGTAAATAGTGCCTGCTAGCATTTAGAGGGTTAGCAAAGGAAGAAAAGTAAGGATGTTCTGATG